GGTCACTGTCACCTCCCTATGGGAATGGCAGTGTCACCTCCCTGCGGGGATGGTGGTGTCACCTTGTCCAGTCATTGTCACCTCCCTTTGGGGTCACTGTCCCCTCCCTTGGGGTCACTGTCACCTCCCTACGGAGGGAGTGTCCCCTGCAGGGTCAGTTTCCCCTCTCTTTGGGGTCAGTGTCCCCTCTCTTTTTGGGGTCAGTGTCCCCTCTCTGCAGGGTCACTGTCCCCTCTCTTTGGGGTCACTGTCCCCTCCCCGTGTCCCCACTGAGCCCGTCTGTGTCCCCAGGCCAGCGATGACCAGAGCCCGTCCACCCTGAACCACTGCATCCACCTGCAGGAGCGGCCACTCAAACAGACCATCAGCAGGTAGGGATAGGTGGCACTGTCCCCGTGTCCCCAAACATAGGGGTGGCACTGTCCCCATGTCCCCAAACAGACCATCAGCAGGTAGGGACAGGTGGCATTGTTCCCGTGTCCCCAGACATAAGGGTGTCACTGTCCCCATGTCCCCATCAGCAGGTAGGGGTGCCACTGTCCCCAGGGGCCATGGTGGCACTGTCCCCATGTCCCCAAACAGACCATCAGCAGGCAGGGACATTTGGCACTGTCCCCATGGGCCATGGTGGCACTGTCCCCACAGTGTCCCTGCAGTGTCCCTGTCCCCACAGTGTCCCCATGGTGTCCCTGTCCCTGCGATGTCCCTGCGGTGTCCCTGTCCCTGTCCCTGTGATGTCCCTGTCCCCGTGGTGTCCCCAGGGTGTCCCTGTCCCTGCAGTGCCCCTGTCCCCATGATGTCCCTGTCCTCATGGTGTCCCCAAGGTGTCCCTGCAGTGTCCCTGTCCCCTCATGCCATGGTGACACTGTCCCCATAGTGTCCCTGCAGTGTCCCCATGGTGTCCCTATCCCCACGGTGTCCCTGTCCCCGCGGTGTCCCCACAGTGTCCCCATGGTGTCCCCTCCCTGTCCCCAGACAGGCCCTGAGTCTCCTGTTCGACACCTTCCACAATGAGGTGGACGCGTTCCTGGCGGCCGAGGTGAGGGATGGATGGACGGATGGATGGATGGACGGACGGGGGTTTGGGGTCACTCAGGGT